ACGAAATACATCGCATGTGGTGCAAACAAGGAGGAATTAGTGGAGTTCTTGTTCAACACATGGAGACAAACCAGTCCAGATGAGTTTAAGAATGTGGAAGTATTTCTAGCTCATGGAACCACATGCCATTCTCTCTGCCCTCAGAATGGGGAATTAGTCGTTTGTGATATACCAGACCTCCACGCAGACCACGAAGAAGCAGATACTCGGTTACTTCTTCACTGTGCGTATGCATCGCAAAGACAGGCTTCCTCAGAAGATGAGACACAAAAGGCAGTCATTATAAGGAGCCCTGATACTGATGTCTTCATCATTGCCCTTGCTTTGGTTGGAAACATTCAAAGTCGTGTTCTCTTTCACACTGGACGAGGAACTCAGGCTCGAACTATAGATTTGACATCACTCTCAGAGGATTTAGGTACTGATGTTACCAATGCCTTAATAGGGCTTCACTGTTTTACAGGGTGCGACTCTGTAAGTGCATTCTATGGCAAAGGTAAAATCAAAGCTCTTAAGTTAATGTTGGAGGAGAGGAGATTTGTACAGGTATTTGGTGAAGTAGGACAACATTTTGAATTGTCTGGAAACCTGAATGAGAAACTAGAAGAATTTGTCTGTGCTCTGTATGGACGCAAGGAAGAAAAAAGTATCAATCTAGTGCGGTACAATATGTTCAGGTTAGAATGCAAGTTTGAACATTCACTTCCCCCTAATCAGGACTCATTGCATGAGCATGCTAAGCGAGCCAACTACCAGGCTGCTATTCACAGGCGAGCCACAAACAAGTTAATAAATGCCCCGAATCCAACATGTTGTGGTTGGGCAATGGAAAAGGGTGACCTTGTCATCAAATGGGGAAACCTTCCTCCTGCACCAGGAAACTTTCTTGGGCAGTTGAAGTGCAAGTGCAAAAAGAGTCATTGTAGTACAAGACAGTGTGAATGTCGTAAAAATAAGATACCGTGCACTGATATGTGCAATTGTGAAAGATGTGAAAATCAAGTTGCTAACACTGCTGAAGAGCAAGAAGAAGAAGAGGAAGAAGAAGATGAAGATAATGAAGACTCTGATTTTGAGTAAGAAGGAAGGGTGTCATTGTTGAAAAACAATCCAGTGAATAAGTTCATTTAGTTTAATATTTCGACACCTTGTAAATTACTTGTTGGTACATGTATGTTGTATTAATAGTATTTATTATTCATATTGCTTTTGTGTTGCAATTTGATGCTCCACAGCTGCAAATGGGATTAGAAGTTGAAATAATAATACATTTGTTAAAATAGCATATGTTCCACATATCATTTTCATCATGTGAAATTATTTTCTTGTGAATTATTCCAAAGGTTAAATGGTAGAAGAAATGGGGGACTCAGATGATATGTTGTGTCATTGAAAAGGATGCAGCAAAGGATTTTATTAAGTTTCATAAAACTTAATAATGCGTTTATATTGACAAGAAGTGTTGGGTGATCAATACATTTTGATGCTGCATAGCCGGGGAAAAGTAATAGCATGGGCTACTAGTATCCGATTTGGAAAGCATGTATCATTTGCTGTATGATATTTGTGTGTCCCTGATTTATTCTTGTGAATTTTTCAGATTTTGTTTCTCCATAACTTATTTTCATGCATCCTCATTGAACACCAACCTACTTTTGAAGCATATTTTTACAAATGACTGAAATGATTTCACTTAAATTCTCTTACTGCGTTACATTACAGATTGGTGTGTAAATGATTGTTATACATGTACACTTCAACTAAAATGAACTCAAAAGTATGAGAAATTCCTGTTTATACAATAACTGCAGTTACGTTGTATGATGTATTGCAGTATTTTAAAGATACGAATGGGGATTGATTAAATGTTGTTGCTCATGTGTAAAACTCCATTATATAACACAGTGAGACATTCACTTGTAATTTGTGTAGCATTGTATTGAAATTATTTGTCCCCTCTAGATGAAATGGGAAATTTTGCAAGAATGTGAATACGAAAACCCAAAGCAAAGAACAAATATTGTATTATGCTTATTATAACTTGAAATGTAAGTACATACAGTGTTCACTTTATGTCTGAGAGGAAAGTCAATACATGTATTTCTTATTTTTCTTTATTAATCACCTGGAGGAAGTGTTAAATGATCAGATAGTGACAACCGTTCCTAAATGTAGGAGGGCACCAACTGGTGGTATGAATTGGACCTGTGCAAGATGGGTCTTAATAAGAATGTCCAGTATGCTTTTTGATACTAGTACATGTTAACTTATCTATGTATAGGACTTGTTTACACGTATGTCCTCAATCCAGCTACTGTATACAACATGAACACATACTTTTTATGCTAAGATCTGTATATTTCAGAAAAGTTTTTTTGTCAACATTTATGTAAATATCCTCACTTACATGTACAAGTGATTATTAGTGTTTTCACTTGTCAATATGAGTATCTGGTTTGTGAGGTGTTTTTTTTTTCTTCTTCACTAAGTATGCTAAGCATTACAAGTACCGGTATGGAAATTGAAATGCAGTGAACAGTGCAGAGTGCCAAACAGACATCCGTAAAAGACATGTTATCACTTCTCTCAACCTTTTTGTGGGGGGTGGAATATTTTTAACCATTTAAAGTTTATCATCTTTGCTCTTTGCCAAAGATTTTTTTCTCTCTGTTGAACAATCGATGGGACACCAAAACAAGCAAATATGAATCATCATTGTCAAGTATATTACATGTAGCACTGACATAAAATGAAATTATTTTGTTTGTAAAAGAAATTTGAAAGCATGCTTCAAACTCATAAGTCTTGTGAGAATTAAAAATGCCAAATGAATGTGTAAACAAATCAAAGTTTAGTGTATCAATTCTTTTATAGGGTGTAATATACAAGAAAGTTGCTAGTGTTTGTGAGTGTTTAGTTTTTTTGTTTTTTTGTCTGTTTGTTTGTTTGAGTGAATGTGTGAGCGATAGGGTGTGAAGATGTGTGCGAATTAGTGTAGTATTCCCAGACATATACATGTACTGACTCGCAATGCCAATATTAATAGAAGAAAGTTGCTGGTGTTTGTGGATGTGTTTTGTTTGTTTTTGTTTGTTTGTTTGATTGTTGAGTGAATGTGTTGACAAGATAAATTGGATTACTTTGAAAAAACAGTGTCATTACACAAAAAATTAAACTTTCCCTCCTCTGTTTCATGCTGTGAAAACAAGTAGACAAATATATGCATAAATTTGCATATTTTAGCTTCATTATTTTAATACTTGTAATAAATACATAAGAACATCATTATTTCAAGGCTTACATTCTAAACTGCATTACTCTCTACTCAAATTATCTTTTTACATACAAGAATCATCTTATTCAACTTCAAAAACGTGTACAAAAGCCGAAATCACATTTTTTGCATAAATTAGCATAAATTACCAAATATCTCTTTTATTTGTAGTTTTTGGGGTTGGCAAGTGGAAAAAACAAAATCAGCACCAAAAAGTACCCCAGAATCATGTAATACTGTGTGGTTCGGATTCGTGGACCACGGAATTGAAAAATGGCTCACATTTTCAGAAGTCAGCCTACAGTCTAACATACACTCTCGTACTACCACCCCGTTTCTATTTGTCCCCATATCTATATATCACAGAACCCTTTTTTTTTCTTTGTCTCCCCTATTTCTTTTGGATATCTTATCTTTCTATAAAAACCAAAGACTAGGAGACGTAAATGAACAGAAGTTCTCTATATTGACATGATTAATTATGAATGAGAAAGAGAGAAGAAGAGAGAGAGAGAGCGCGAGCAAGGGAGGAGGGGGGCTGATTCCCTTTTTAGCATGAATATCTCCTTTTATTGAGCTCTTTCTTTCTCTCTTCTTTCCTCTCTCTCTCTCTCCCTCTGTACGTTCATGTACTCTTGTTTCAACTCATTCCCTTTCTAGCACGGATCTCTCGTCTATGAGGCTCTTTTCCCGCTCCCCTCTCTTTCTGCCTTGCTCTCTCTCCGACTACCCCTTTACACTTTCTTTCTTTCCCTATATCTAACTGCTTTTTATTTGCCTCTAGTTCTTTTGGATACCTATCTTTCTATCAAATCACTAGGACTAGGAGATGAAAATGAACAGTAGGTTCTCTATATATATAATTGACATGACTAAATATGAATGAGAAAGAAAGAAGAAGAAGAAGAGAGAGAGAGAGAGAGAGAGATAGCAAGGAGGGAAGGGGGGGGGGGGGGGCTGATTCCCTTTTTAGCATGAATATCTCCTATAGGGCCTAAAATAAAAACCTGTTGCATTGCCCTTTAGGTGCCAGAACATGGGTCGGTCGGTCGGAAAAGATTTTTTTAAAAATTTTTTTCCCGCCCTCTTTTGGCTGATATTTCTCAGTTTTTTAGCTGGTGCAGTGTATGGTATTAAACTATAAACACGTACAAGAGGCCGGGGTCTACTTACACTCGTATACTAGGATTTTAAAACTAGTGCAAAAGACGGGTGAGAATTTGTGAATAATTTGATTTTATGCATTTATTTCCCATTTAAACAAACAAAATACATATTTTTGTATTCATTAATATAACAAAATCTAAAAAACGGTAAAAAAAAAAAAAACTTTTTAAAACGCCGACCGTAGATTTTCAGATTTTTGGGTCGGTCGCAAAGGGCAATGCAACACGTTTTTATTTTAGGCCTAGTGCTCTTTCTTTTTCTTTCTCTCTTCCTTCCTCTCTCTCTCTCTCTCTCTCTCTCTCTCTCTCTCTCTCTCTCTCTGTACTTCCCCTCACACTCTCTTTCTATCCCTATAACTGTTTTTCGTTGCCTCAAGTTTTTTTGCGTATCTTTCTTTCTATTAACACCCTTGGACTAGGAGACGTAATAAAGAAACAGTACGTAGGTTCTCGATATTGACGTGACTACATATGAATGAGGTATTAATTTTGACAGCATATGATTATTAGAAGAAAGGCAATATATCAAGTGTACACAACTAAAAACAAGATAATGCATGTAAAATGAAATATAAATTTATTCATTTGAAAGCGAAGCTGTAAAACACATACAGATAATTCATATTCAATAATAATCTTGAGATGTATATAATTACATCATGTACATGTATATATCAAAATAATCTTTGAAAATATCGACCCCAAACTACATATTTCTACACAGAAAATTGAGAAACCCGCGTAACTGATCCTATAAATTTTGTTTAACCAAAGAAACATCAATCCCATCTTTATATTATATTTCCAATTAATCTTTATATTTACCTTTGAAGACCAAGCTCGTAGTCTACTGGGCATTACTGGTAAGAAGTATACTTGGAAAAACAAAAATAGGCACAATATATTTTGGTTTGGATTTTCTAGAATCCGATATTTGACATGTTTTGTCACCAAGAAAAGGACTACATATCTTTTTAACACATGAAAATGATCGTAGAAAGATACGTTAGGCATAGAAGTGCAATTGCTATTCAAAGTCTTATTATGACTATATTAATTCTCTTACCACTTTACATAATAATAATGATTTTGAAAGAACAGAAGTCATAGACCATGCATACTTTAGAAAAAACTGACCCTCAACTAAATCTATATAAGAACTTCATTATATTCTAGAGAAATAAATGTTTCAATTGCCGTGTATATATCACCACCGTATAAAATTGTAATGGCAAGATTTAATTATGCATTTAAAAAAGTCGAGAAGTTGTGATAGATTTCAAAAATGTAAACATCATTAAAATATGGGATATTTTCGTGACTACTGACATTGATCAATTCAACTCAAATTAGGGGATTTTTTTTCTCCTTTCCTTGAAGAAGCAATGAATGGATCTAACATTTCGTAGGAATCCTAATTCTATAAAGAATGTTTCACATATAAAAGAAAGCAGACCTTAGCATATCTGTTATCAAAATGTTTTTACGAGCAAGAATCCTGCATTCATGATTTCAATTGAAATGTAAGTTGTAATTTATTCAAATTTCTACATAAACGATTCTTCCGGTTGAGAAGATTTAAACATGTACGAGAACTGCTTTATAATTATCTGTTCTCCCCAATCCCCATTCAACTGCAATAATGCGGTACAGTGTACTGGGATTTGTATTTCAACAGTTACTAAATAATGTTTGATGTAGTCATAATAACCACTGGCATGCTTGTATAAATCTATGCCACACCCCGTTACGCATAAACAAAGAGAGAGAAAAAAGGAACACTGAACCAACAAATTTGTCCAAAGCAAGATAAACAAAAACCCGAAAATACTAAAACCTTACCAACTGAAGAAATGTGAAACAACAACAAAATTAAAAGTTTGTTCAGTAACAAAATCTCTAACTGTTGATTTGTTTTTTCTAGTAAGCATGTAAATAATTGAAATGATGAGGTATAATATACTTTTCCCTGTATTTTCCTAACAAAGAGGTAGACATGCATTTCTTAACAATGACCACTTCGGAAGAAGCATGTGGTGTTTTGAAAAATTATTTTGTGCATAAAATTACTTCTGAATCGGTTAAATCACATGGATGTGTTCCTATTCCAGCACAGATATTGGTCGGTCTATATAACTAAATGATTCAATAAACCATGCAATGTACTGTTTTTCTAATTATTTGAAAATTTGCATTATAAGAGAGAATGCAAGAGGTCCTATGGTTATGTACGTTTTTTTTTTTTTTTTTAAATATATACACCCGTTTTAATTGTTCATTACACATTATTTGAAAAATTAAGGTCAGGCAAGGAGGTCCGAAACAGAGACACAATGTACTTTCACTTGTACATGCATTAAACATAGATAGATAGAGAGAGAGAGAGAGAGAGAGAGATGAAGAGACAGTGAGATAAATATACAGAGAGAGAGAGAGAGAAAGCAAGTGTGAGACAGAACGATTCCTAGAAATTCTAGAATACTGAAATCATAATGATGGCAATTTGTCACACTGTCAATTAAAAAAAAAAACCAATATGAGCTCAAAGAGGGTACGGTCTATCAAACTGTCATTCTCATCGGTCATATCATGTATTAACCAATCAGAAACTGCCACGTCATGATGTGATGTCTTGATCCTGATATGCTATTGGTTAAAACACTCCAATCTTGAACATGATTGGCTGATACAGAGTTCTATTTGAATGCAAACTTTGGTGATTAATATTGACAAGTACTGCCGGGGTCAAAACATTGACAAAAGATCAAGATAAGTTGAAAAGAGGTAAACCTTTGGGTACCGGTATACATAAGCAAATTGGAAAAAGCAAAGTTTAAAAAACATATTGGAAATTGATTATATCAATGTATTAATAATATGCATAAAAACATTTTGAAATATGCATAAAAAACATTTTGAAAAGGTGGGCTCACTTCTGCAGCTGATGTTTACATAGGGAAAAGATTGCATTTACGATAAATAATAATTAGACAAAATTGATCAATATTCTTGAACCTATTATCCAGTTCTGATTTTGTGCCATTTGTAATATAATATCACTGTATAACAGTGTTTATTTTATTGAAAATGTGTCTTTATAGGGGTTTGGTTTTCATTCGCTTTCGGTCGTTGGTGGAGGGCACATGCTGATCTGCACTAGGGGGTCTAGTAGTACTTTTGTTATTTGATGTTGACAAATCTAGAGCTTGTGATTGGTCGATGGCTTGTAACGTCACAGTCGGGGATGCTATTCTGCCCGGCTGTGATTGGCTTGAAAATTCTGATGGGGTGGTTGGCAGCGTTGCTGGAGGTAACGTGCGCGGATACCCGTACGGGATTGGTTGAAATTGCCCGACAACTCGCATTGTTCTGTAAATAGGAACGAATTTGTAGTAAGGTGACGGGTGAAGCTGACACTGGCCACCCAAATAGGGATACGGTGAGGAATGAGGGTCGGGAGCAGGGGACGAACTGTGTACTGAGCATGATGTAGAAACGGATGCACTCTGGGTAGGCGCAACATGCGTTGTCACCGTGCGTGGAGCAGTGGTTGTAAACGAGGTCGGCAGGGTCGTTTGCAGAGTTGATGGTGCCGGGTGCAGAGTTGATGGTGCCGAGTGCAAAGGGCATGGTTGTACTGTATTTGCCGCGGTTGACGGTTGGCCCGGTGCAGGAAGACTTGGATGCAATGATGATGCTCCGACCATATGGGATGCAGCTGCGTAATACTGGCCGTTTATAGCGGTGACGAGTGCAGACGTACTCGTGGATGGACCCGCTTGCGACGGTGGCAGAAAGGTGGGATCATTTCTTGAGGATGATTGACGAATACCTTGAGTATTCGAAAGGGAAGATGGCCCATGGACCAACGGAGTATTGCTAAGGCCAAACGGTGCCGTGTGCAAAAACGCTTGCAGTCCTTGGGGTGGTTGTGCAGTGTGCAACGCGGGAGGTACCCCTAGAACTCCTGCTGGTTTGCGGTCAGTCCCAGGTTGCCTCCTTAGAGCCGAAAACGGCGCAATCCACGGAGATGCCGCACTGGGTTGAACCAGAGACGAATTCGGCATTTGAGGTGCTCCCGAACCGGCGGGCGTTGGAAAGTGAGGTACTCTACCCGGCAGTGATATATTCCCTTGAGTTGCGTAAGTTGTCCGCACCCTTTGCCGACACGCTGTGAGGTACTGCCGAAGCCTCCTTCGGAAATCTTCGAATAGGATCGCACCGTTCTCGGGTACTCGGTCCAAGAAGCCTTCCCGCTTCATAAGACACAGCGCGCGCCCATTCATGACAAAGTCTGTCTTGTTCACTTGCAAGGCATATTTCGCTGATACCGCCTCCAGCCACCTTCCGACGTGCAATGCCGCCCATTTCCGAGGATCTGAGAAAGATAATGCAAAGAAAGTAGACTTTAATCAGTACACACAACCTTTGCTTTCAAAACACTCAATGTAGGTACACATCGCGAGGAACACGTGAATCTAAATTCAGATTATTAAAGTAAACTCATGAGTTTACAAAATTTATTAAATAGTAGTCAGGTGAAAAACATGCGTGAAAATAGAGATAGCAAACCATCCGGTTAACCGATAAACTGATGATAAGCACAAGTGCCGATAAGTTATTCCTGGAGAAACGTAATTATATTAACAATCCCACGTCTCCAAAAATTCAATGATCATGAAGGTACACTCCAATTGTATAAAAGGTTTAGCTACATTTTCTTCCAGGCTTCAATTTGTAAAAGATATAGGTTTTGGGGTATGGGTATAAGGTTTATATATTTGGTCCTGGGCCCCGTTGCATAAAACTTAGCATTGATGGTAACTTTGCCATTAATGGTATTGTAGATTCAGTGGTAAGTTTTATGCAACGGGACCCTGAATTGAAGATAACAATTCTGCTGCAGGAAATTACCGCGGGGGCATATGTTGAATAACAACCCTCTGTCAACGACAAAGGCTTAGTGTTAGGCTTGCAATTGAATTTTAGATAAGTCTGGGGTTAGGCTAAAGGTATAGACCAGTTTTGGAAACGCCCCTCTCAAAAAAAAATGAAAGGGAAGCTCTTATTACCAATCATGTGAAAGAATATGTTTTGACTAGTCGTGATGATACAAATTTTGCCGGGAAACCCCCTACTAATCGATATATTTGGTAAATTATTATCTATCCAGTCCGGATAGATATAATAATTTATCGAGTAGTTCCATATACATCTTTCTGTGTACAGTGTGTGTAACTTTACCAAGACTGGGCCAAATTTCTTATCATTTTGATGATTCCAGAACCTTGCAGTACACACCAATACTTATATGCTAGATGATCAACCTTTTCTGATCGATTCCACAACGTTTCTTTCACAATGCAATCGCATGACCAGATATGCTCTATAACTTTAAGGGAGAGTATTTGATCCAGAATTAAAGTTAGGAATTCGTTTAGTGTAGGATCATGACTGCGGAGGAATAATCGCCGGAGTTTCTGTCGTACGACCATCATAAATGAGTACGGCCATATCCATACACCGCCATCAAAAGCAATATTACGGATGAGTAATGGTAATTGGTTGCTTCCATGAGAAATTGAGACTTTTGCTCAATATTCCAAGTGTTTACGGATAACCATCATACTATTCAAACTTAAATTGTCTCTGGATTGTGGATTCTACAGTAGTATCATTTTACAGGTATTTTGGGAAACTATGCAACTGCACTTTAAATAGTCTGTGGGCAAAAAAGAAGAAATCAAACTATAATAATAATAATAATAGTGTTCAATCTCTTTCTTGATCTTTTGTAAGGATAAGAGACAAACTTTGAGATATTATTGTATTGTTATGTCACCTCAACTAAATGATATCGTACTATGAAATACAAATAAGTCAATAATCTGCCTACATAAAGCAAACGAGTCGAACGTGGTCGGATTTGTGTAATAGATTGTTTGAATGTGTCCATGCCGTGTCTTTAACTACTCATTCTTCCTAAGTATCATTTGAAATGTTCACATTTGTACAAGCATTGCTTTTTAGTGGACCCCTCTGTTTCCAATATGTATTTCCACATTTTTGATGGAAATTTGTATGATTGATTTGTAATGTTTTGTTGGAAACATAAATAAATTGAAATTATAATTTAAATTGTCTCACACCAAAATGTAAGGGAATGTCAGGGACTCAGGGTGTGTCTATAAATACATACATACACGTTACCAGCTTTGATGCTGAATAGTATTCATGAAGATGGGTCCATACGAGACTTTATTCTGGAATGTATAAAGAACGGTATACGTTGAACAATCATATCGCTGTCGGGAGCAGCGTTACTAGACGGGCTTGGCGATTGCCCTACGATTCCCCTCGCCCCTCCGCCCCAAAGCTTATTGTGCCCCTAACACATTTTGAGAACACCTTTTATTGTACTCCCCCATGCTGCCCCTTAAACTGTGTCGAAATTGCAGTGTGCGATAATGCATTGCATTTCCCGGCAATACATAATCTTCGTATGGACAGCAAAGACCTATTTAAAGGTGAAATTCAAAGAAGATCACAAATATGTCAATTAATGTATCACTAGAAACTGGTAATTAAACTAACAGATGGCCATCGTACAAGTTTTAGGTCAACTACATATCGGGTGATTTATAAAAATACAAATACAACCATCTCCATAGCAGCTGGGATATACGAGAGATTCGCCGGAAAAATAACGATGTTTGAATGACGTCACTATATGGACCAACACTGCCCAAGCAGACGACATCCCATAGGGAATTAACATAATTGCAAGGCTATTGTTTCTTCAAATTATAATGAGTCTAGTGTATATAAATGTAATGGCATGTCAAACCATTCAAAAGGGGATATGATCCGATTCTGACAACTAAAATCTTTTGCTTGTAAATACACAGGATAGGGGTTAATTAACAATCAAATTAAGAAACCAGACTTTCAAATTGAAAAAACTCCGGAATGATATTAAGGACGGCATTTTTTCCCTCTAGAAACGCCGAACATACCCCGATGTGTGCAGCTGAATAAACAATGGCGTCTTATTTTGTTTACAAGCGACAGATTCCTTAATTTTTGCATCGCTGCATTTGTCATCAAAATAAAACCATGCGCGGGGTTTAGAGTGAGGCAATAGATTATACATTTAGCCTGACGGTAATGAAGTAAGAGAAAGAACTCAAGAGAAGATGAAAACACAGGCACGGAAAATGTGTGAGATGTCACGGGACACCGTTTGCTTGTGCAAGTCATGTCCATACTGTGATCTCACAGACTCACACATCTCAGCAGCGTTCGGAGAGCTCTTCAGGTGCTATGCGTTTTGTAATTTATAATAATCATTACTTCGAATGTTTCTAAGCATTGAATTTTGATAACGTTGTCGAATCAAAGTTTCAACTTTGCAATAATGAAAATAAAGTTAGTTTTTAAAATCAATGAATATCTACTTTAAGGAGAGTAAATGTAGTTCCTTACATGAAAAAAAACCAAAAAAAAAAACTCGTATGGACGCCCCCTCCACGTGGTAGATCAAACATGTTTCAATCAATCTACGTGCCGTGTAAAGCAGATACAACTGATTACAACAAATTGCGGGCTTTAGGTTACAGGATCTGGAGCATGATTGATTGAGCAATCAAACACAATACATAAAACATTAAAAGACAAATATTGAAACAACCAATAAAACACCCATATACAAACAGAGGCAGAATAGGAACTAGGGTATAGAATGTTGACTTGTTCGAATAATTTCTAATCTCATGCAAAGTTGTTTAATATATTATTTTGGCATCACGCCTATAATATAAAACACAGATAAAAATGTGCGACGACTGGATCTATGTCAGTGGCGTAGTTCTGATCTAGACAGTTAGGGACACTTGTACCGGGGGGGGGGGGGTCTTCTGTTCATGATTCTCCCGCCCGCCCCTCTCTCCCTCTTTCTTTCTCTCCCTATCCCTCTCTCTGTGACTTGTTCACTTTTCTCAGGTCCACAGAGAGTCAGAGCATCTTTCGGCCGACCAAGCCTTTTTCGGTTCTATTATGTGCCCCAGCGACATCTATTGTTCCCTGATAAAATTCCGACACTTATCACATTCCTACCTTCAACAATAGAAACCTAGAAAAAAGCCCCTTTTAAATTCTAGCGGAATATGGGCCAAAGCCTTTAAACTTTAAAAGAAAACAAAATAGAAACAAATATCGAGGTACCTTTTTGTGTCACGAAATTGGCCTTGCACGATTTTATAGCCACTATCATCAATGCATACATACTCATGCATGGATAAACACAATAAAAGAGGGACATTCCCCGTTTTATGTAAGATTTTTTTTTTTACCACAATGTTTGTTCCGGTTTGATCATGTCAATGACTTATAATGTATGGTCCAATGTATAAAGTATAACGGGATAAATGAGTGGAGATGTCACGATATAGTTAAGTTCGTTCACTTCCTTTCGATGCTATATATAGGGTTTAGGATTCGAATCCCCGCCTGACACTAACATCATTCACTCCCTCTCAATCGAAAGGTTGGGTGGGGGGGGGGGTGGGGTGGGGGGGGGGGGGGTTGAATCCCAGTCCCACACTAACGTCTTTTTGCAAGACATCGAACCACATTTGCCACTATCCACCCAGGGGAGAATATAGCTACGTGGCAATTGCTGGGGTAATAATGCAGGGCACACAGGAAGAGAACCGGTAGTATTAATACTGATGTACATGTAGATACCCTGAGTAAATAAGACCCGATTTAATACAATAATAATAAAATCCTAAATCCTAACCTGACAATGCAGAGTGGAATTTATAATCGTATTTTCATTCTCACTATTTCGTTTAAAGGGGCTGTAGAATGGGAAATACTGGTTGGCGACATCCACGTCTTCTTTTGGACAACTACACGTAAACTAATGGACTTGATTAACTGGGTCAGCGCGCACTAGCGTTCGCGAAACAGACCGAAGTTCTCCTCACACTTTGGTTTCGCGTATGTTGCACGGACGCGAGTACGCAGGCCTACTGCGGTCGCGTCGTACTATACCCGATTTCTCCCCGAGTTCTCCCCGAGTAGGCCTCGGGAAAGACGCATAGTCTCGTCATGATGCTACAACCCCATTAATACATATTTATACTTATATATATATATATATATATATATTTCTTTTAATCTATAGAAGAGTGGAAAACACAAATCGTTGTTGCCGTTTTGAGGAGGGGAAAACTGATTTATTTAGACCTCTAAAAAAAACCTGAACTACCATGGGACTGGGTTAACTAATGCGTAATATCATCATTCATAATTATATAATGTGCTCTCACCTGCGGGAACGTGTGACATAATAGGAAGAGGAGAAGACGGTGATTTCGATGGTGATTTCGACGATCTCCTGGAGTCTGCGTTGTCATGGTTACGTGTTGACAGATGCTTCATCGCGACCCCGTTCCCGTCATTGACATTCATCCATTTCTCCATCTGTCTCACACACAAAAATAAAAGCCCAAAGAGAGAGAAAAAAATTATAAAATGGGTTTAAGAATGTAGTCAATGAGAAGCCTCGAAATGGAATGATGGATCAGGTGTATGTGCATTTTTGTTATTAGGGACTTTTAGATTCGCACGAAGACAATAGGTCTACGCTACGATCGACGTCCTTGTAATGCACTGCCTTCAATGGACGTCACACGCATCAGTCCACGCAAATCTAAAAGTCCCTATTGTAACCATAAGCACGGGGAGTGCATTTTGGTGATAACGAACGTTAATCTTATAAAACAAGTAATACGTGGTTAGCTCGTGCATTGGTGATAATAATGCACTGCACTTGCATGGTTAAGTCACAATGAGACGGACAATGAACTCGCCAAGTCTCGTTCATTACCCTATACTGTGCATATGCACTGATGCACTCACAAACAATGTCATGTATTATAATAGTTAACACCTTGGTGCGTTTCACCAAACTTGTTATCAGTGACAAACGACAGTTTTTGTTATAAGCTACTGAAATCCTTGCTTCTGATTGGTTGTCAACATAATTTTCACTGATTTTTGTCATTTTGTCATTGAAAAAAAGGTTTTGTGAAACGGTCCCTTATGCTAAACGTGTCAACTAGACAGCAAAGGGACATTTATCAATTCTCCACCGGCTTCCGACATGTCCGAAGAGGATTTCACAGAGGAAGCAGAAGAGGGAACCGATTGGAACTTATATGGGAAACTTTTAAATATCAACTTGTCAACTATTATAGCATGGATCATTATTTATCTATACTAATAATCTGGATTTATATGGCGCTTAATACGAAAAACCGTAGCTATCATTACAAATATTATTACCCCGGTCATCGGATGCAGTCACGCACAATGTGCACCCTCTTCACGCCTCTGTCAAATCAGAGTCTGTGCTCGCAGACTGGTTTGGCGGTGTGACTGAGTAATGTCACTATAATCAATGTCCGTATATAATGATCATGAGTTTTGGACTTGCCAGATGCAAGTATGGCAAATGCACTGCTATATACATGTAATTATTAAAGGGCTCAGGTATACATCAATTATAATGTTCACTTTAGCTTTCTTTCATTCACAATGTATAATCAAGAAATTCCTTGCGTTATTTGACAGTTATGTCATCGAACAAAATAATCCATGTCATTGTCATGGTCAAACCATTGTTTCTGACTATCATAATAGTTCAGGCAATGTATATGTATACTCAGGTAAATTGACACACCCATTGGCACATGTCGACGTATTAATTTTACGGAAATGTCGACGCGTCAGTTTTTTCAAGATACTTTCGTTTTCGTCTGCTTTTAATACAGCTGTTTTTCTTTCTTTACTCCCCTTTTTGGCATCGTTTTTAGTTCAGCAATAATACTGTGGAGCCATATCCTTGCCGTCTTTCATTTCAGCATACACCACTGTAAACAGCATAACGAACATCAGTTTTCCATAAAAGAAATACGGTACGAAAAACAGGGAAACAATGTATTAACACCCACTCAAACACAATCTTTGTCTCCTAATAACAGTAGGTTAAAGGTAAACAGTACATCATGACTGTAATAAACTGCCATACTGCATACTTTACGTATAGTATTTTATTAACAAGAGAAAAATAAATTAAGGGGGCACCAATTAAATTTGTATTCGTGTGCGGACCCGGCAATATTCTCCGTCATCCCCGACCCCCCTCCCCATCTCTCTCACTCTTTTCCACTAGCTTCTCCATTTTCTTAACATGGGTCCATGCTCTTAAAAGCATCAGAAAATATAATTCGTTCTCATCGCCAATAAAATAATAGGAAGAAAAATATAGTCGCCATGTCATGTAGCTGTAGGGGCATACATAATAATACACACTTGACTGACAATGATCTCGTTATGAATAAACTCGTATAGAAACGTGTGAAGGACGTGGATAAAAAAGTTCTTTGTCTACACGGTATGTCGATCTCTGTTTTGCAACACAAATGTGTTCCTTTTACGCAAGAAGAAAACAATCCTTCTAACATAAAGATACTCATTATGCTCGCCATATAGTTGGAGGTATACACTTCACAATGAGCTTGGTCTGCAGAAACTCGTTAAGAAACGTACAATGGACGTAGGAAAAAAAAGATGTTCACACAGTGTGTCCATGGATTGTCTCAGGTGTGTCGATCTCCAGTTTTGCAGTAAATTAGGCCGTACGGCGTTCACACAAACAACTTCGCCTTGAAAGGTAACATCGTACCAGAATTCCTCGTCTGAACGTATAGGAGCGAGATAATAGGTAAGGTAAGATGATTCCGTTTAAGATAACACACAATTAATGTTTCCACAAATTAAATGTAAAATGGGAAATTAATAAGTAGTCGCCATGGCCTGCTCTACAGGAACCCAAAACACACGATGTGATACATGTACATGTAGGGCTTTAATACGTGTAAAGTGAGTACCCGACTTGAAGTGAAACATAGTCTGCAAAGACAGGCTGTTTGAGACTTCCGAAGGCGAAATGACTCAGTGGTAGAGCAGTAGTCTCTTACCTGGGAGGGTCCCGGGTTCGAAACCAAGTGGACGTGCTAGTGCCCGTTGGTAAGGGGTTCATCCTGAGTAAAATTATACCCAGTCCCTCGAAGAGAGCTTAAAGCCGTCGGTTCACTGGTTGCTTACATACAGTCACGCTGTACAGCAGGCATACACACACTTTCTCATAGCAGTCGAGTATTAGAATAACCATAACCATTACATTTTTAACAAAACCACAACTCCACAAAGCCTTGAGCCTAGCCTAAATCTGCCAGTCTCTGACTGTGTTGGTATAGTCCCGTCGAAGTCGAGTAATACAGTTGCTGTGGATCAAGTAGTCTGCAAACTGTGCGTAGTCTCACAGTTTAGTCCCTGACATGGGTCTGAGAATGAAGACTAGGTGAAACATGATTGGCTGGTACAGGAAGAGATATGACCTCAAAGAGCAAATTTTTATCCCAGTGGTACGGTCACGAACCCGGATGTGGCTAATGCGTAATTTATATGACTGTAAAAACAAAACAACAACACCCCTCCCCGTTTCCACTTTCTCCTGACAAACACACTCACTCAAACGCCCATGCACAAATACAAACCGACACTCCCTCTCTCTCTCTCTCTCTCTCTGGACCTATATGTACGTAGGTCCATGCTCTTTCTCTTCCCTCCCCCCTCTTTCCCCTTCTCCTTCTCCCTATCTCTACATCCCACACCTTTCTCCAATCCCACTCTCCCCTTTACCCGGTTCCCTCTTGGCCTCTTCCCTAACCCTAACCTCTTCCCTAACCCTAAACCTACCTCTTTCCCTAACCCTAACATATTTTTTTTTGGTTGACGAAATTAAGCCTGGGTTATACGTCGGAGCATTTGAAAATCATACTTTAGTTTAAGCCAGTAGGCCTTCTAAAGACACCCCCCCCCCCAAGAAAAAAAATTAGTGGAGGGGGGGGGGGATCATTACGCGAATCAGAATAATACACGCTAATAATGACATATTGAATCAAGTAGAATAATCATAGTCAAAGAACAATGTAAAAAAAATAATATCTTAAAACAATATGATGGAAGGGGGAATTACGGTCCACTTGCAAATTTCCGGCAATACAACTTACAATGTATTGTTCGCTTCCGTTTGGTATTTCCTCATAGTCATAAGCATACTGACTCATCCGAATATATATATACCCAAAATCTATGAAAAACTAGAAACTATCAAAGAAATTATGCATCGATTTCCTCATTTCCAAGTATTGACATTGTATAAGCCCACCCCCGCATTCTAGATACACAAAATATGTCATGATAGTTGTAGTTTTGTGATTGGTCAAGATAGTAGGGAGTTTGCGCCTTTGAAAGTTTTCTTTTTCAATCAATTATTATGGCACTACATGACTGTACTAGTCTGTGAGTCACCACCACAATCATCATCATTGCCATCACGATCTTCACTATCATCATCATCATCATTATCGTTCTCCACCACCATCATTATCATGAATCTCTTCATGTAACCAGCTGCGAACAATACTTGTTGATACCTGGGCCCCGTCTTATATAATTATAAAGAGTTGCGATTAATCCAAATCAATATATCGGTTTACTAACATATTCAAATTGTATACAAAAGTCGTTCTTGACTACCCAAAAGCTTGCCCGACATAGCAACAAGTAATATATGCAGACTGGATTACGAGTATTGAGGTTCATTCATTAATAACAGGAATAACTCAACACTAGGTCCCCGGGAAAAATTCATCGTAAAATTAGTAAACCGGTCTATAATTGCAAGCCCTCCAATCAATTGCAAATTTGCAGTCTTATATCTCGTATGTACAGTGGTGAAAATTGCACAATATATACATTAAAAAGGAGACACAACATTATTATCGTCACCATTTTTTCAAAATCAGTATCATCATCATCATCATCCTTATATTAAAATGAACAAAAATGACATTCCTAATACTTTTGGAGACCTAGATGGAAATGTTACCTCCCGTATATCAACGAACTCATCTATGGAAGCAGGAGACCGTCAAAAACATGGATATACGTCGTGTCGTAATTCGAATTGCCACACTACCTAAATAATTACGTCGTGTAGTAATTTGAATTGCCACACTACCTAAATAATTACGTCGTGTCGTAATTCGAATTGCTACACGACGCAATTCCGAATTACTGCCCAACGATTTAACGTCATGACGTTAAATGAATTAACTACACGACGTTAAATAATTAAGGTCGTGTAGCAATTCAAATTACTACACGACCTAAATAATTACGTCGTGTAGTAATTCGAATTGCTACACTACCTAAATAATTACGTCGTGTTGTAATTAATTACTGCTCAACGATTTAACGTCGTGTAGTTAAATCATTTAACGTCGTGTAGTTAATTCATTTAACGTCGTGTAGTTAAATCAACCAATGAGACCGTTCGTAATATCGTCGGC